AAAAAAGAAAAGGAAAAAAAAAAAAAGATAATTAAACTATTACTCCCTCCAATCTCTTGGTTCTTCCCACGTACTTTGATTTATTTTTTTTTTCAAATTCAGAATGGATGAAAAAGTGTACTTATATTTGTTTTGGTTTAAGTCAAATAATATTAATGCTTTTCTTTGGTTTAGGGAAAGGATACCAGTTCAGCTGGCTCGTGATGGACTAAGAATTCCAATGGAGCTACGTTAAGGTAATTAAGAAGATCCTCTGGCCTAATTTACAAAAAATGGTGGGAGTGACTTGAGCATAAAATTAGACCATCTATGTAATACTACCTCCGGTTCGTGTTATATGCAACTTTGGAATGTTTTATATCTCACAAATAATACACCAAAGTTGCATATAATACGAACCGAAGGTAGTAAAACAAATGTACTAATAACATGTACCATAACATCTTTGTCATTAACGAACCCCAATTATGCACAAATATGATACGATGTTGTATTCTAGACAAAGTATACTTCCATCTAAGAATTTAGATAAATGACATCTTTTAATTAGACTTGACAAGTTGACATATGTGTCAATGTTCAATTTTAACAAATATATTAATTATCAACTAGTGTACTAGTAGTAAAAAATATTAAAAATAGATAACTCAAAAAAATATGTACAAGATAAACTAAACATCTTACATATTAACATTTCTATCCATATATTAACAAAAACAAAAACAAAAAAAAAAAAAAAAAAACAAATGGTTAAAAAAGTGTGTAAATTATGTAAAAAGTAAAAATGACACGATAATTATAAGACCGAGGAGTACAGTCAATTCATAGACCCTTATAGATCGACCACATTCTCATGCATCCCTAATCAAATTTACTCCCATGCTACAACTGGTTAGCCAAAAGAGTGCAACATATTAATGCATCGAAGTAAACAAGCAAGTATAAAGAGTTCAATCATTATTAATGTAAATCCTATCCCTCATGCTAATAAATCATTAACCAATCTATTTCCTAGCTACCTTTAGCTAAACTACATTATAAACCAATCCATCTCCCTACCTTTAGCTAAACTACATCATTAACCAATCCATCTCCCTACCAACTACTCACTGATCAAACTTAGATCATCATCACAAATCATCCTAATTCCTAAGCTAAACCATAGTCCAAATAATAAATAAGTAAAAAAGCATGGAAACAAATAGCCATAAAACAAGCCAGATAAACCATTAATTTTAGATTAATAAATCAAAGTAAAATATTTTTTTTTTTTTTAAAAAAAAAAAAATTGAGCTTAGATAACAAGCTCAAAATTATGCTTTAAAGTGTTTCTCTTTTTGCTTTTTTTGAAATATAATTTCTTCTGCAAATTAAGAATTAATGGGTGATTAGAAGAATAGGTAACAACTATGTTAAATAAAAAAATTAACAAAATGTAGTTATTGATGATAATTCAACATTTCTACCAAGGAAAGTGACCAAGCAGCCACTGGTATACTAACCTTTTCAATTTTTAATGTCTAAAGAAAAAAGTTCACAGAGTATAGTTGGCTAAACTTTAGGACATTACTAGGTTAGGTCTCGTGCCATGCACGATACGTTTTTTTAATTACTTTTGAACAAAATTGTTTAATATCTTGAACAAAATTGAAGTAACATGGAATATTTGATCAAGATCATATTCATAAAAAATATTCTACCAAAGATACATCTTCTAGATAAAGATTATATATTTTTTTATTATTCCGTGATTAATTGAGTATCAACATAAAAATGGTAAATATTATTGCTTATTTATATACTTCCTCCGTTAATGGTTAGTTGCAACGTATAGACATTTTTTCTTCTCTACTTTATGTCACTATCGTTGCAACTAATTGTTAACAGAGGTAGTAGTTGACAAAAACAAACTTGTTAAAAAAAAATAACTTCCTTAAACAAAATGTAATAATTAATTATTTAAAAAATATACTAAGAACACACCAGAAATCGACACGTGTCATTGTTAGTGTGTCTTTTAGTATATAGTTATGATTATAAACTCATTTCTTTGCTGAAATAAGTGAATATTTCACTTGGAGAGCATAGCCTGGTTAGAGGAATTCAGTCCGGGGGAGGGGGGTTGCAGGAAGCCATATGGATCACGGAATTAGCCAACTTTAAACAAAAACATTGATTCCAACGAAGGGTTCTTAGATATTTAAAATTAAAATCAAAACCAGCATATGTGATCTAATACGACCATATCCAGTAATAGTAACAATCCAGGAAGTTGTTAAATCTACAAAATTTTCCCCAACACGCACTCCCTAGCAATTTTATATTATCTTTCGACATTAGAGTGATAATCTTAGGTCCAAGTCGTACTAAGAAATCAAAGGCCTTGTTTGGTTGACATGGGAATTAAATTTTCAAAGGAAATTGGATTTCATGTGAAGTTATTTCCCTAATGAAATTCTTAGGAATTTCCTAAATTTGTTTGGTTGGCAATGTGAAAATTTAGAAATCCCATGAATTTTGATTGACCTAGGGGGCCTAGGTAATTTACTTCCCTTGTTTTGTGGGAAGTTGAAATCACTACTAGAAATAGGTCAATTTACGACGGACTAGTTCCGACGGACATTAAATCCGTCGGAAAGTTCCGACGGACATTAAATCCGTCGGAAAGTTCCGACGGATTTAAAATCTGTCGGAACTTTCCAACGGAATTTCTACGGAATACAAATTCGTTGGAATTTCCGTCGGAAACTATATCTTGCTACGGAAATAAAATCCGTCGGAACGTTCCGAGGGAATTAACCGTCGAAAAGTTATGTTTCAGACGAAAATAAAATCCGTCGGAATTCAATTAAATAATAAAAAAAATAAAAAAATAAAAATAATAAAAAAAACTTAAAAACCCTATAAACTTTGCTCCTCAACCGCCCAAAGCCCCTTATTTCCCCCTCTCTCTTCTTCTCTTCCTTTTCTCTCTCCTCTCCTTGCTGTTCTCTTCTCCTTTACTCATCTCTCCTCCCTGTTCTCTTCTCTTCCTCCTCCCTGTTCTCTTCTCTTCTTACTCATCTCTCCTCTCAAACTTACTCCACTCTTCTCATCCCCTTTCACTCTCCTCTTTGTTTCAATACCAACAACAACAACGCAAAAAAAAATGGTAACCAATGCAACAACGACATAGCAATTACGGCTTCACCGGGAAACCGAGCAACAATCACAACGGACATCAACAAATTTGAAGAACAATTTTTTGAATCTTTCGTTTTTATTTTTCTGATTTTGATTTTAAATTTGTAGATCTAGTTTGTGTTTATTCGATTTTTTGCTCAGATTTTGATTTTCCTACTTTTGTAATATTCAATGTATATAAATTTTTTTTTAATAACGATTTTCTGATTTTATTTTCGATTTTTTGGGTGATCTAATGGGGTTTGAAATACGGTGGGTGGGGGGTGAAATACGGTGGGTGGGTGGGTGGGGGATGAAATACGGTGGGTGGGTGGGTGGGGGATGAAATACGGTGGGTGGGTTAGGGGTGAAATACGGTGGGTGGGTGGTGTGTTGGGGTGTGGGCTGGTTTGGTGGGGTGGGTGGTGGGTTTTTAGGGTGGTTTCAGTGAGGTGGGTGGGGGGTCATGGTGTGCTGGGGAGTTGGTGGTGGCGGGGGTGGGATTGGGCAGGTGGGGTGGGGGGCTGCTGGGGGTCTGTGGTGGGGGGGTGGGCTTTTTTTTTTTATTTTTTTTTTTAATTTTTCCGACGGAATTTCCGTCGGAAAATACCGCCTCCGACAGAATATTCCGTCGGAAAATCTCCCCCACCGACGGAATATTCCGTCGGAAAATACCGCCTCCGACGGAATATTCCATCGGAACCTTGCGACGGATTTTAACTGAACGGAATGTTCCATCGGAACCTTGCGACGGATTTTAACTGAAAGTCAACAAAAGCGCCGACAGAACAAAATCCGTCGGAAATTCCGTCGGAATAGTCCTTTCCGACGGAATTGCCGACGGAATATCGCAAAATACCTACAAAGGGTCTTCCGACAATGCTTTACGACGGAATTCCGTCGGAAATGGGCATTTCCGACGGAATTTCAGGGTTTTTCGACGGATTTTTTCCGTCGTTGATTGACTGTTTTCTAGTAGTGAATTCCCATGAATTTTCACTTCCCTTATTTTTGCTTTTTTGTGTCAACCAAACAACTCATCAATTTATCAAATCTCTTGAATTTTCACTTCCCCCATTTTATGTTGTCAACCAAACAAGGTCTAAGCATGTAATTTAATGCAAACCCAAATAAAAGATTCTTATCCCCTATCCTAACCTCCTTACAATATTTCATTTTTAATAAACTTAGTAGCATAATTAGCTACCCGATCACAGCAATAAACCAGAAACGTATAATTTTCTGCAATCAAGAGTGAAGACCCTACAAACCAAGAAATTACCTCACAATATTATCTACAGAATACCACTTCTGCAATCAAGAGTGAAGACCCTACTAACCAAGCCGTCTATGTCTCAATAAGAGACAGAACACATAAGCAATCACTCAACACCTTCCGATTAAACAAACAAAACAAACAAATCCTGAATATTTAGGTGTATAAACCCATCACATTACCAAAACAAAAACGTTTTGGTACCAGAAAAATTTAGGTACAAAAATATTTCATGTTAGCCGACCCCAAATCATTTTGGAACTAACGCTTTGTGGCTGTTGTTGTAGGCATTAAGATTTTCCACACAGACTATCAAGACCAGCAGCAATCACAGGCAACATCTAATAGAACTAACTAAACACTGTTGATCACAAATGAACAACCTAAATTACAAAACCATGAACTCAAATTAAGACCCCTAAAGAACAAATGAAGCTAATAACAACCAATCAATCAGACCCAAAATCAAATTAAGACCCAGAAAAATAAATAGTAAAAATACTTACTGCTGGGGAACATAGGAGAGAAGTTCATCAGACCCAAAATCAAACATACTGAGATATATCAAACTGCCAGAGCTACGGTCAACGGCGCTGCACAGTATTTTCTAGCGCACTTCCTGTGCCTTCATGAAACAATCATCTATCACAATAGTGCCACATAAATGGATCTTTGCAGAAGTTGTACCACAATTTACAAACAAATTGAGCAGATTCAAGGATTTCAACTACATCCATTTTCATTAGTATCATCATCGTTATTTCGACAGGCAATTCTAACCAGTTTCTAGACAATATAGCTATGGGCTCTACGTATACTCTACTCTTCGTCTGTCTTTCGAATGAAGTTGTGCTCTCTTGTTCCAAGCAGGCTTGACTGCTTGAGTTTTCACAATGTTTCGGATGAAAACAATGGGACCTTCGGCAGATCCTTTTGATGGGAGAAGACGAATCTCGGTCCGAGCGATAGTTGGGCCGAGGGTATCCTGCACAGCAAACACATGTAAACTGGCCTCAGGAGTTGAGCCGAGGAAAGCCCCTCCAATGCCGAAGTAAGTACAATGTAGAGAGAAAGAGCTATGCAAGAGAGTTTAGTGCTTGAGGCTGATTGTGAATGTCCGTAGAATGATGTGAGTGATGGCTATTATACCTTTGCTCAATTAGATGACTTGGCCCCTTGAAGCACTACTACATTTTAGACCTAATACAACGAATTTTTTCGTTGTATTAGGTTTTGAAAACCGTTGTATAGACCTAATACAATGGCTAGCAACCGTCACATTTGCTAGGGTTGGATTAGGTCTAATACAACGGTAAAATGGACCTAATCCAACGAATTGAGCAATCCGTTGGATTAGGTAGATACCTAATCCAACGGATCGCTCAATCCGTTGGATTAGATTCCTTTCTGTTTTTTGGAATAACTGAACCTAATACAACGGATTGCTCCCCAATCCGTTGTATTAGGTCTTTTTTATTATTATTATTATTATTATTATTATTATTATTATTATTATTATTATTATTATTATTATTATATTGTCCATGTCCAGAAGTTTCCAGATTGTCCAAGTCCTGAAAAGATCAATGTCTTCTTAGTTTGCATCTTAATATTGGTATTGTATCTATATCACATTTTTCTAGATAAGACAAGAAAATCTGAAAAAGAAGATCCGAAAAATTGAAAATCGAAAAACTGAAGAAAAAAAAAACGCAAACGAAACAAAAAAAAAAGAATGAAACCCAAATCAAGAATTCAAAATACGATTCTGTAACCGAAACAAAAAACGAAAACAAAGATCTGGAAATCAAAAAACGAAAACGAAACATAAAACGAAAACGAAAACGAAGATCTGAAAAATTGAAAAAACGAAGATCTGAAAACCAAACAAAAAAACGAAAACGAAAAAACGAAGATTTGAAAATTTGAAAATGGGAAAAATCTGAAAAACGAGAAAACGAAACAAAGATCTAAAAAAATTGAAATGGGAAAAATCTAGAAAATGAGAGAACGAAGCAAAGATCAAAAAAAGAAACAAAAAACGAAAATTGAAGATCTGAAAAACAAATAATGAAAACAAAGATCTGAAAAATGAAAAAAAAAAAACGAAACAAAAATTGAAAAACCCAAAATCTGAAAAATTTGAAAAACCAAAAAAAAAACGAAACAAAGATCTAAAAAAACGAAAAACAAAAAAAAGAAAAAACGAAATAAAAATAAGAAAAACCCAAAATACAATCTGGAAACCCAAAAAACCCAAAAAAAAAATCTGAAAACAAAAAACGAAACAAAGATCTGAAAAAACAAAAAACAAAAAATAAACGAAAAACCGAAACAAAAATATGAGAAACCCAACAAAAGATTTGAAAATCCAAAAAACCCAAAAAAAAAACCCAAAAAACGAAACAATACCTTAGAGATTGAGACTAAGGAGAGTGAGGAGAGTGGGAGATACAATTGGGGGATTGAGGAGAGAGAAGAGAGAGAGTGGAGAGGCGAGAGATGAGAGACGAAAGAGACTGAAGAGAAAGAGAGAGGAGAGAGAATGAAGAGGCGAGAGTGAAGAGAGAGAGTGAAGAGTTTAATTTATACCCAAATTTTTTTACCTAATCTACTTCGGCTGCTGGCTCCTTTAGGAATTTCCAGTCTGCTGAGATGGGGTTCGATTCTACCCCCCTGGTGCCTGTTCCTGAGCATGCCCGGAACCTTTTTGAGTTTAAGCGCAGCTTGGCGACCGAGTACTTCGGCGACCTTTCCAATATGCCCGAGCTTGGACTACGGGTGCGACATCTAGGGCGTCTGAGCCGCTTGCGAAAGTGCCAGACCTGTTTCTGGAAAACCAAAGGCTGTTGATGCAGGTGAACTCTTTGTACTTAAGTTTCTTTAAGCTTTTCTTTCACTTTGGCACTAAGCTTCTGATTTTTTGCAAAAATCCTCTAAGTACTGAAATTCAGCTGAATCGTTCATCTTTATTTTTTGTAGGTCGTTCACAACCACTTTCTGGATGTGGAAATGAACGATGAACTGAGAGCAAAGGCTGATAAGGCCGAAGAAGCTGAATGCCAACTTCCTCACTTTCTACCAGGGTTTGGAGCAGGCTGTTTTTCCATGACTGGACGAAGGTCACGCTCTTATCCAAGAGTATGGGGTCGAAGGAATTTCAGACTTCAGGGCCCACATTGAGCAGCGAGTGTAGAGGGAGGTTGAGATTCGGCGCCTCATGGTTGAAGATTTCAGGGGTCAGATTGCTCGTGCTGAAGACAAGGCTAAGGAAAAGTAATCTGAGCTGGAAACCGAGAACCAAAGGCTAAGGGACGAGCTAAAATCCCAGAAAGAGGAAGTTGCCATAACTAAGGCTGAACTTGAAGCTGCTCAAAAGATGTTGGAAACTCGGGTGTATACTAAGGAGGAGTATGCTGAGGGCTTTGAGAACTGCTTTAAAGTTGCTCGTCGACTTGCTTTCCACGTTGATCCTATGATTAACTAGGATTTAGCCGAGGCTTGGTCCATGGATCCTAATGATGCCCATATGACCGAGGCCAGCCCAGCTGAAGTGGCTTTCCTGGTTCGCCAAGCTGAAGTCGAGGCTTAGGAAGAAGAAGAGGTTGCGAGGAAGGCACAAGATACCGCTCAGCCTGCTTCGTCTTCTGCTGGCGCTAAGGCTTCCCAGGCCTTGAGTTTCGATCCTACTGATGCTGAAGCATAGGAACTCGGGCAGCCGTCTTCAGAATCCTGCGGTTCGACTTGTGCTTAATCGATAAATGCCGCATCTGCTTTTGCCTCTGTTTTTGCTTTCAACTTGCCTTGAATTTGTACAAACTCTTTGTTTTTTGTTTGCTTTGTACTCAGTTCGACAGCTGTGTTTTCACTTGTGGGCGGCTGTCGATTTTAGGATATCTTCTGCTCTTGACATTTGAATCCCTTTTAATATATTTGAAGTTCTTCTCAGCTTTGCTTTTCCATTGCCTGCTCTTCTGATTCTTGTACTTTTCTGAATTACTTCAAAATTTGTCTAAGTGTAGAACCTCGGCTTGGAGATATTCTTGTACTTTATTTGCTGAGGATGCACTGCTTTTCTTTTATTCCTTTTTACCTTGCTCATTTTACCTAGAACTTTCAGCTTGTGCAAATTTTCCAAGTAAGTACTAAGCTTCGGCTGCCTTGCTCCTACTTAGATTTTCTCCAAGTTAAGCTTCGGCTAGGAACCTGCTGTATGAGTGCCTCTTGCCCCCTTAGAAATCTGAAGATGAAGTCTTCAGGTTTTTTAGGAGAGTGCTTTTGACCTCTCGGTGCACTGACGATTTTGCCTTGGTGAAATTTTTGCAATAATCCAGATTTTGAAGTTCCTGCTTATTTTTCTTTTTTCTTTTTTGTTCTATTTTGTTTTCAAAAGGTCTGATTTCTTGCTCAAGAGCCGTAGACTCTGAGAGAAATACTCTTATGATCCTTTTAATTCATCCGAGGGAATGACTATCCGAAACACGATGCCGGGGCAATGGTCTATCTGAAGTACAGTGCTTCACTTAAGCAATACTTCGGAAATGCAACCATCACCCAGAATTGCTTCGTCCGAAGTACAGGGCCTCACTGGGTAATGCTTCGAGGCTTTATCAATTCCTATTTTTTAGGCAATGTTTCTAATGCGCCTATGGCCTCTTTGCTCAGAGGAACTGATTCGTCCGAAGTACTTAGCCTCATTAGGAAATACTTCGGGATTTTATCATTTATCCTCGTCTTGGCAGACTTTGCGGTTTGTCAAAGTACAATGCCTCATTAGACAATACTTCGGACAGCGCCGGACTAAAACCATGAATTTGTAAAAACCATGGAAGATAGAAAATATAGAAACTTTGCTGAATTTGAACAAATGGTGGCTCAAAAGCCTTTCATTAATGTAAAAAGTGTACTTACATAGATTGATCTTCCCCCAAGGGGCTCTACACGTGATATCTTTTAAGTACATCGGCATTCCAGTGATTTTTCAACTCGGTACCATCCAACTATCGAAGTCAGTACGTTCCCGGCTGGAGTTCATCATAGATTTCATATGGTCCCTCCCATGTAGCCGAGAGTTTCCCATGAATGCGGCCTTTTTGCACGGCAGCAGCACTCCGAAGAACAAGGTCCCCAATTTTTAGAAGTCTTGCATGGACTCTTTGGTTATAAAATTTGCTGATTCTCTACTTGTACGCAACCATTTTATCTCGAGCTGAATCTCTGATCTCGTCTAAGAAGTCAAGGGACTCCTTCAAGAGTTGTTCATTTTCTTTGGCTGAGAAGAGATTTACTCGTAGACTTTTTGAACCTATTTCCACTGGAAGGACAACCTCAGACCCATACACCATCTCAAAAGGTGAATGTCCCGTTGCTTCTTTTTCGGTTGTCCAAAGTGACAAGAGGGTTTGTGGAAGTTCCTCAATCCACTTGGACTAGCTTTTGATCTTCAACTCTCTTCTTGAGAGCATTAAGGATCTATTTATTTGCAGCTTCGGCTTGATCATTACTTTGCGGATGACACACCGCAGAATATGCCAGTTTAATGTCGAACTGATCTGTATACCGCTTCAATGGAAGATTATCAAATTGCCTTCCATGATCAAAGACAAAAACTTTCGGAATCCTAAAGCACGTGATGATGTTTTCCCAAATGAATTTCCTGACTGTTTGCTCTGTAATGTTCGAAGCTGCTTCGGCCTCGATCCATTGGCTGAAATATACTATGCCGACTATTAGCCATCTTTTTTTATAAGGAGCATCAGGAAACGACCCCAAGATATCCAACCCCCGTTGGGAATATGGAAGTGGATTTAGGATGGGTTGAAGGTCTCGCGACGGCCGATGGATGACTGGTGCAAATTTTTGACATTTTCACACTTTTTTACCAATTCCTTGGCATCTATGATCATAGTTGGCCAATAATACCCAACCCTTAATGCTTTGTGGGCTAAGGCTCGTCCCCCGATGTGGTTTCCGCAGATGCCGAGATGAATTTCTCGCAAAATGTAGTTTGCATCTGTCAGACCCATGCACTTCAATAGCGGGGCTAAGAAGAACTTTTTTAGAAGCTCTCCTTTGAAGACGATGAATCTTGATCCGATTCTTTTTATCTTAGAGACTAAGTTTCTGTCTTCTCCCCTAAGTTTATAAGCTAGGATGGGGTCCATTCAGCTTGGCTCGTGTGCGACACATCAAACATTAGGTTCTTGGTCCACACTTCTTTCTCGGCGTACTTCCACGTATACAGACCGATTCAGCTCAGTTAGAGTTTAACTTGCAAGTTTGGAGAGTGCATCAGCTTGGGCATTCTGACCCATTGGGATCAGTTCAATCTCAAAAGTCCTTAGCTTTGCAATGATTGATTTGATCTTTGTTAGGTAAGCTATCATTGAGGGTTCCTTGGCCTCGTATTCACCTCGGATCTAATTTGCAACAAGCTAAGAGTTTGTTTTCAAACAGACATGTTTGGCTTCCAATGCTATGCACGATTCCAAGCCCGCAACTATTGCTTCGTATTCGGCTTCGTTGTTTGAAGCTTTGAATGAGAATTTTAGTGCATACTCAAAGGATTTTCCTTTGGGAGATGTTATAACTACCCTTGCCCCCGAACATTTATGGTGGAGGATCCATCCGTGAAAACAGTCCAGATTTTCTTTTCCTCGTCAAGTGTCCCTTGATAAGAACACTCGGCCAGGAAGTCTGCTAAGGCCTGGGCCTTAATAGCTGCCCTCGGCTAGTAGCTGATACTAAACTCGCTGAGCCTGAAAGCCCACTTTGCTAGTCTACCGGATTTTTCTACTTTGCCGAGGACATTTTCTAGCGGTCGATCCGTTAAGACTACTATTTGATGGAAATCGAAATATGGCCTCAACTTCCGAGAAACTACCACTACTACATAAGCAACCTTTTCAAGTAGGGGGTAGCATCTCTCGGCACCCGTCAGAGTGTGGCTGACGAAGTAGATCGACTGCTGAATTTTTTCTTCTTCCCTTAGCAACACCGCGCACTCCCTAGGCGGGATAGTTAACGCGTTAGCTACAACACTGCATGGGTTGATACGCATAGCGGCTAGTATCCATCGTTTACGGCTAGGACTACTGGGTTGGACTCACTGCCACGTATAAGTATAGAGCCTCTCCTTCAACTGGCCTTGTAAGCGTTGGGAGGTGAGCCAAGTTCTCACGGAGTTGCTGAAAGGCTTGTTTCTACTCGTCTTCCCAGATGAGCTCTTTTTATTTTGGTAGTTTGTGTGCTTTGAAGAAAGGCAGCCCTTTGCATTGTCCGACGCTTTAGAGATAAACCTGGACAGAGCAGCCATTCTTCCAGTGAGGCGGTGAACATCTCTCTTTGTTTTCGGCTCGGGAAAATCAAGAGCTGCTTGCACTTTGGCGGGGTTTGCATCAATCCCCCTTTTCCTGACCATGAAGCCAAGGAACTTGCCTAACTTCACGCCGAAGACACACTTCTTCAGATTCAGCTTCATTTGATGCTTGTGAAGGGTGGCGAAGGTCTCGGCCAGGTCCGCAACATGGTCTTTCTCCTCTTTGCTTTTGACGATAGAGTCATCAACATAGACTTCCATGTTACGGCCTTTTTGCTCGACGAAGACCTGATCAACTAGCCTTTGATATGTTGCTCCCGCATTTTTCAATCCGAAGGGCATCATTTTGTAATTGTACACCTCGGAACTTGTAACGAATGCCATTTTTGCTCGGTCATCGGGGTGCATGAAGATCTGATGGTACCTAGAAAATGCGTCCATGAAGCTAAGCAAGGCGTGGTCACTTGTCGAGTCAACTAGCTGATCCATCCTCGGCAGAGGATAAAAGTCCTTCGGACGCGCCTTGTTTAGGTCCGTGAAGTTAACGCACATTCTCCAGGTGCCATTTTCCTTCTGAACCATCACCACATTAGCAAACCATTCCAGATATTGACAAGGTTCGATGAACCCTGCACCCAAAAGCATTTTGATTTCGGCTGCGATGTCTTGGTTCTTTTGAGCGGAGTAGTTCCGCTTCTTCTGCTTAATGGGTCGACATGCGGGGTCGACATTAAGCTGATGGGAGATGAGGTTCAGGTCAATCCCATGCATGTCTGTTACCAAGAAAGAGAGCACATTTTTGTTGTCCCGAAGAAGTTGGATTAATTCAACACGGAAGCTCGGATCTAGTTCAAGTCCAATGCTGACACATTTTTCATTATCTCCTTCGGTTAACGATATTGATTCTGTCTGATTATCCAGTTACATGGCTTTGGCACTGGAATCTTCGGATTCAGGTCTGATGTCAATATCAGTAGATTTCCCAGACTTTGGCTGATCTTCTAAGTCGTTCGGCTCAGATGAAGAATTAGCCTTTTCTTCACCAAAGATGTTTTCTTTGTTGGGGATCCTTGAGCCAAAGCACTTAAGCCCTTAGGCCTTTTCGTACCTCGGTCCTTTTCTTTTTTCTCCTCATCATCCTTATCGTCACGGCGAATTTTGGACGGTTTGTGGTGGTTGCATCTTCGAGCCTCCTCTTGATAGCCAAAGATTTTTTCAGAGTGTCCCCTATCTGAAACATAGATCATTGTTTGATGGTACATCGAGACAACTCCGTGTATTTCGTGAATGAGGGGTCTCCCCATAATCACGTTGTACACATATGGAACATCAACGACCAAGAACTCGGCCATAATGTTCCGTTATGCTAGGCCTCGGCCTAGTGAGACAAGAAGAAGAATCTTCCCATCTGGGTATGATGAAGAGCCATTGAATCCAGTTACCGAGAAGGGCACTGGAGTTAGGTGCTTGCTCTCCAACTTCAGTTGGTCGAATGCCCTTCGAAAGAGGATATTCGCCCCGCTTCCACCGTTCACGAGGGTTCGATAAACATTGTGGTTTGCAATGCCCGTCATGATCACTAATGGGTCATCATGGGGGTACACCACCCCCCTACAGTCTTCGGCTGTGAACTGCATGTTCGGCACCGGAAACTGAGGTTCTCGGAACGTAGCATTATGTACTTGATGGGTCAAGCCCCTCAAGTGGTGTTTCACCGCATTCCGAGAGACCCCACCGGAAATAGTAAGAATGTCAAGGTTTTCCTTGTCATTCGGCTTGGCTTTTTTCCATAGAAATTCCAGATCTTGCCGAGAAACTCTCTTGGTTTTCTTCTCTTCGCGGCGGTCCGCGACGTACTTTTTCAAGTAACCCTTTTGGACCAAATCCTCGATCTGGTCTTTCACATGGAGGCAGTCCTCGATGCGATGTCTAGTGGATTCATGGAACTCGCACCATTGGTCTTTCCCCTTTTCTGATGCCAAGATGGAAGTGGTCTTGGTTTCTTGAATCTCCCCTCGTCCTTAGTCGTGTTAAAGATTTTAGCACGCGGAAGAGCGAGAGGAGTGTAAGACTCGAACCTCCCTGTATAGGGGGTCCTATCTTTCTTTGGTTCGGGTGCCGAGGATGGTTCTGAGGCTTTTGCCTTCCCTTTCCTCAACCCTTGGCCTTTAGGGGCTTGGCCCTTCGCTTTCCCGGTCCCTGATTGGGACTGAGATTTTTCTTTATTCCATTCTTCGGCTCGGATAAACTTATCCGAGGCATCTTAAGCTTCATCCAAGGTATGCGGGGGATGCATGACCATGAAGTCTAGGAACATTCCAGCTTGTAAGCCATTTCGTAGTGTAAATACGGCAAGGCCCTGGTCCAGACTTGTGATTCTGGATGACTCGTTGCTGAAGCGAGTCAGATAGTCTCGGAGGCTTTTGTCCTCCGCTTGCTGCAGGCTCATCAGCTCCGTAGTTGTTTTCTCTCGGCGATTTGCCGTGGAGAACTTGCTCTTGAACTTGTTGGAAAGGTCCTTCCAACCGGTTATAGAGCTTTCTTTCACCCCCTTGGTGATCCCCGATTGTGCAACACTTTTGAGGGTGGTTGGAAAATATTTACACCAGGTAGCCTCGGACCTGGGGTTGAGGTACATTTTGCCCCTCGTAAGAGGCAATGTGATCCTTTGGGTCTGAGGTACTGTCGTAAGTAATGTGCATCGGTATTTTTACCGTCGGCACATGCTCTTCCAATATCCAACTTTGGAAGGGCGAACTTGTAGGAACCATCACGACTTTCCCCTTTTGCTTAGCCGAAGGGTCCTCGCTTCTCCCTCTTAGAGAGGTGGAAGTGGTTTTCGTCCCTGGCCGAGACAATTCTGGGTTGGTCCTTGTTCCCTTTGGGTAAGTAAGAAGGCTACGCACGTCTACCTCCCTTGGGCCTAAGCGTTCAGTGGACGCTTTGGCGAGCAGTGTCTTGCCACGCAGTGGTGGTGTTGCTACTCCTGAAACTCCTAGAGTCCGATGATCCGGGTTCGTCAAAGAATTGGGAATTCTTCTTCCTTTCCCGTTTAGTTCTCCAAGTGTCCTCTTGCCATTTTTCCCCCAGTTCTTTGAAGGATGGAACTTGTCCATCCCCTTGACCGGTCCTCCTTCTCAGGTGTCTCAGTTGAAGAGGTTGTGACTCTTGGGGTGTTGATGGGAGTGGTCCTCCTTCGGCTTTGAGGAACTCCATGCAGACCGCTACGGCCCTTGCCACTTCCTCCGTAGAGGGCCTTGATAAAGGGGTTTCTTTCGGCTAGGACCGAGAGTGTATACTCTGCGGTGGAGGACTCTTCGCATTGGACCTACTCGGCCTAGACGAATTTGTCGGCTGGCGAGTATTGTGAGACGGAGAACCCTCCGAAGCGTCCCCTTCCGGAGAATGGGGAGCTTTTGAGAATGAAGAAAAGGGGAAATCTGCCGATGTTCCCTCACCAGGTGTTCGTCCCTCCTCGAAGAGGTGGGAACATTTTTCTTCTTAGCACCCTTGGTGCTCTTTCCACTCTTAGTCATGCTTGTTCCTGAGATTGGTAGATTTTTGGCTTAAAATTTGTGTATCTTCCCCACAGACGGCGCAAATTGTTTCGGATAAAAACAATGGGAGAAGACGAACCTCGGTCCGAGCGATGGCTGGGCCGAGGGTATCTTGCACAGCAACCACACATAAACTGGCCTCGGGGGTTGTGCCGAGGAAGGCCCCTCCGATGCCGAAGTCAGTACAATGTAGAGAGAAAGAGCTATGCAAGAGAGTTTAGTGCTTGAGGCTGATTGTGAATGTCCGTAGAATGATGTGAGTGATGACATTTATACCTTTGCTCAATTAGATGACTTGGGCCCTTAAAGTCAAGTGGGCTTGCCACGTTGACCGGACCGTTGTTTGACTCAGCACTTGGGCTGGAGGGTTGAACCTTGCTTTTGGGTTTTGAATTGTATCATTTGTGAACCAGGCCTAATAGAGGAGAAATTGGACCCAAACACGCAGGATTATATAATGGAGTATTTTTTGTCAAAGCAAATGAAGTTGGAAGAAAAGGAGAGCAAAAGATAGTCAACAAAAAATTATAATAAAACGACTAAAAGAAGGCGGGAAAAAGAGACAATATGCGATCATAAAATGACAATGATACTGATACCCGCTCTTGTTACTACAAAAGTTGGTACAATAGTAAGGGTGCTTATGATGCAAGTCGAGTTCGAGTTTGGGATAGCTCGACTCGACTCGTTAACATATTGAGTCGAGCGTAATCGAGTCAAGTTTTGACCGAACTTTGATCAAATTTGACCAAGTCGAGCTTTGACTGAGTCGTTTTTGAGTAGCTTACAATTTGATCCGTCTTAGTAGAACTCTATTTAGTCTAACATCTCTTCATTGTCTTAAATTTCGACATTTGAGAATATACATATAATAATACGAGTACATAGATAACGTTTTATTTATTAATTATTAACGTAAAAAACAGTTTTTTTTATCAAAATATTTTATTTTTTAGTGTATATATATAATATTATATAAAGGAATTCAAACTTCTCACGAGCTTTCGAGTCGAGTAATGAACTACTCAACTCGAATCATTAACATTTCGAGTCAATCTCGAGCTTGAGTCAAGTTTTAACCGAGTCAAACTCGAGTAGCTCACGAGTTGTCTCGTCTCATAAGCACCCCTATAGTAGTAACAAAAGGCAGTAAATTATTTTATTGATTTGATATTATTTCTTTGTAGTCATTAAGTCACTAGTATTATATTTTCTTTGTAATCGTGTACAAATTCTTAATAATTTTAAAATTTAGTTCATTAAACTTAACTTTTTTTTTTTTTGATCATGGCTTATTTTTGCTCATCTTAAATTATTTTCATCTAATTTTATATTATTTAAAGGTGAAAAAAAAGGTCTAATAAATAATAGTACAAAATTACAAAGTAATAATTATTCAAAAATAATTACGATTGATCCAAGTTAACCCAATGTGAAAAGGTTGATCCAACTTCATAATCACCCAAACCAAATTGACTCCATCCACAATAACTTGATTTGATATTATAGTACCAAATCGAACTTGAAACTTGAACGGTCCCAACCTAATCCAAAACCCAGTCCAAATATTGAAATGACCCGAAACAACCTGGTTCAAATTGATCCACCTGAACCTGATATGAAGGACTAGATTGCATGTCTACGGTCTACATACAGTACTAGAAGAAGGGATAACCTTCGTTTTTTGGGATTAAATAGCTTACCCACCCCAGTAGGTGGGAGAATATGCAATGTGTTGTTTTAATGAAAGTCCACATAGGATTTTGGTGAATAATCATCATATACCGTTCATAATAGCACTTTTTACACACAAGCATACACCGTCTTCAAACGATATTCACATTAATACAAGCACAAACTAAACATCTTTAACAGTCAGTAGCAGAGTAATAAGTTTCGGAAACTACTTAAACTGTTCTACTACCCTCCAAAGATCAGTTCATTTCTCCGGTTTTTTTCTCGTTGATACTCTTGCATTGCCCCTAAAAGGAATACGAGAAATGGGAGTTAAGAAAAAGGCGTTCATTAAAACAAAGGTACTACTTTATACCTATCCTGAGAAAGCAAATGCAAGTCTAGCGTCAATGAGAATTTAAGAGCTTACCAAGTATGGCTTTCCTTTGAACTTGTGGCTGAACACACGACTAATCATACACATCTGCATAGTAGGGGAGTTCATCATCATCTGAGAATTCATAATGATCATCATCAGAAACGTAGTCCATGTCCTCATATTCATCTGCGTAGATTTCATCGAAATCACTATCATAATCTGTGGTAAGATAGTTATAGTCATCAGTGGAATCATTGGGACGACGCAACTCCTTGATCTTTTCAGAACATCTCTTCATCAAATTGCCATCAAGATGCACGTGAAAACATGCACGCAGGTCAAGAGACTGAAGATGAGGACAATTATCAAGAATGGCTTGCAAACCATCACTTGTCATGCTATTTCCAATGAGCTGCAGGTGGTGCAATTCACGCATGCTTGCTGCAATTGCCAGTGCCTCATCATCACACGCTAAACTTGGGTTTCTAGATCCTTGCTGATTCAATTTGAAAGTTTTAAGGAACGGGCAACGACGAATAATGTTTAGAATTTGCTCTCCTGAGAACGAGACCAAAGTAAGCTCAAGCTCCTCCAGTAAAGGAAATTTTTCAAATGCTTCAATCAGTGCATCAGCGGATATTTTATAGCAGCATGCAAGGCGAAGGTGTTTAAGAAGACTTGATCTGCACCCCAGACATAATGGTCAATAAACATCTGAATGTCTAATTGAATCAACGTCTAAAATTGCCAAAGTATACAAGCCAACAAACACTATAAAATGAGCAACAGAGCAATAACACAACTATAATCTCCGTTCATATAATTAAAATGGGTTTTCAATGCTTACTGAGGTACAGTGCTTAATTACTTGCAGTATCAGATAAATTTGAACTGTGACTCAGATCTCAATTATAATCAGCAAACATATAGTAATGACCCTAATGAGACAACCAAGCTTAAAATTATGGCTAGTATATTCAAAGAAATTATATCCCTGTATCAAACATTCCTATTCAAACATGCAAATATAGTTACTGCAAAGAAGTTTTCCACCCTAGTCAAGATCTGCACACCTTCCCTAATAACAGTAAAGATGTTGTTCATGATCTACTTAATCCACAGCCATAATGCACACTATTGAAAAAGAATAAAAAAAGAAATTGATATCATGGATTCAACAATGAGAAAACACACAGGAGATGCATCAATTATATTAAGAGTGATAAAGAATTGGCTAGACACAGTTTCCCATAAGATGTAGCCTACACAAATGATACGATGACTGATCAAACACAGTTTCCCATAAGATATAGCCTGCACAAATGATACGATGACTGATCAAATTGCCACCAATGGATTTTTGCTTCTCTTTTACTAGTTTATTTACCTATGCATCCTCTAAAGGGAGAAAATTAGTTTAAATCCAGAATATGGTTGGTTAACCCTTATTCATGACAGGTACAAAATGATGGTTGGTTAACCCTTATATCTGTTTCCCTTACATTGAAAACCAACAAAAACCGGAGCATTCAGATCATAGATCTTTGAAGACTACTTGTCCCCATCTCCCTGTAGGTGTTTGTCAGGAACTTATTCAATTTGCAAGGCAAATGCCAGGATGAAAAAATTAGTCATAATCACTACTAATTGACCTAAAAGGGGACAAAAAAATTTAAAAATAATTCGTATAACAGTAGCCAAAAATACAGGTAAGATGATTATGGTAGTAGCTAAGTAAAATAATAATGTAGCAAAAAAAGCAGGAGTGTTTTAGTTCGAGTAAAATGTATTTTATTTTGGCTTCCTTCTAGATAACCAACCATGGGACAGAAAACATGCCAAAAACAGTTTAGAAAAAGAAGATCAGCAAGATTGGGGAGTAATGAGAGATTGAGGGAAGGATAAAACCTTTATCTTTTCAACTAGATTTATGGTCTTTTCAAACCTTTAACAGCTACCTAAAACGCTAATGCCAAACATGCCCCTAGAGAGAAGTCAGGGATTTTCAAAGTTCAGAATTAGTAACACTGTTATAAACGAGCAGCCCTCCAAATTAGAATATGCAGATCATGCTAGAGCACATGAGTAACAATTCCAGCATGCTTCCATGATATTAACCCATGATTCCTCAAACACAGGCAGAAGTCTGGAGCAATGCAAGCTTCGGAACGATTAAGTAAACACAGTTACAAACTAATCATAATAGAGCAGGAAATCAACTCCAGAAAGCTAGCAAAAAAGATTATTATTAACCGCCCAAACCCAGTTTCCTTTACCATTTTTCCAGTTTGCACTACATAGGAGGAGCAGTCTTAATTCCACATCGAACCAAGAAAGCAGAAATGTGTGATTTAATGCAACACTATCACTAATAAACATTTTCATAAAAGAGTTCCAAATTGTAGCTATAACCTTTTCACAGCCAAACTAACCGCGAATTATGAATTGATTGCCAATCCTGCAGCTAAGTTTGATACGCACTAAGAAATCCGTGAATTCCCAACTAAAATAGCAAAAATCATATGAGACTAGAACACAATTGAAAGAGTAATAAACTCTTAAGAAACATCAACAAACTAACAAGTCTTATATAGGATAATCATCCCCATTTCATACAATCAAAACCCCATAAACATGAACAAATCACAAATTAACAAACTAAGTTGCAATAAACATTAAAAACTACATTAAAATAAAACGAAAGACAATCATCAATTAAAGCAATAATCCATTAATCAAATAAAAAATCACGAAAAATAAAATTAAAACTGCAAAAATGATGAACAAACAAACATACCTTTGTGCAATATACTTAACAAGTTCATCACAACCAAAACCCTCAATATTGAGATTGATCAAACCACCAGAACTACGATCAACAGCACTGTACAACATGTTCTGGTATTTTTCCGACAATTCAGGTTCATCCAAATTCAACATCACAATCGAACGCCACATTGATGGATCTTTGCAGAGGTTGTACCACAATTTACACACAAATTGAGCGGTTTCAAGTATTTCAATGGCCTCCAATTTCATCAATATCATCAGCGTTACATCGCGCGGAAATTCTAACCAGTTTTGAGGTTCTTCCATGGAGGAAGGAGTTGGTAATAGGGATTGAATTGACGACATAGCTAGGGTTTCCACCATTTTACACACTCTCTCTATTAGTCGTTCGCTCCACAATCTCTCTCTTTCTCGCACTGTTGCGCTGAACGCCTAATCCGTGGCGTTACTATCTGGTCAGCAGTGGCGGATCCAGGAATTTCTGACTGGTGAGTCACAATCGATAACCAAATATGTAAAAAAAAAACTGAACTGCTATTCGTCGTTCGCAAATTACAGGGTGACGCTCCCATTTTTAGGTGAAATGACATTTTTGCCCTTGTGTGTATTTTCTCTGTATAAAGGTCCACCATGACTAACTTTAGTTACCGACAAGATAAATAATATTCCCGAGCCCACCACTTGTCTTAAAAAAAATCCCGAGCTCCAAAAATTCCCGGTCCCACCATTGTATGGTAATCCTGAGGAATTTAAAAATCCCGGGGCAGAAACGGAAAGTGTACGGAGCGGTGTTTTACGATGGACAACGACAACGTTCACACGCCGGAGGGTTCGTCGGAAGAATCTGTAAGTATTTCGAAATTTTTTTTTTTTTTTTTGGAAAGAGGACATCCGCCCAAAAAATCCGGATGTTTAAGTGGGGATCCGCCCAAAATTTTCGGATCTCCCATTTAACATCCGGAAATTTCAGGCGGATGTAGACATCCGGATGAAAATTCCGGATGTTAAGTGGGAGATCCGGAAATTTTGGGCGGATCCCCACTTAAACATCCAGATTTTTTGGACGGATGTCCCATTTATAATATTTTTTTTTTTACGTAATTGTCTTTTTATTATTTTTATTATGAATAATAGTTACATTAGTTTGTATTATGTATTATTTGTTAATATTATGTACTTATTATTATTATTATTATGGTTATTATTATTATTATTAATTTTGTTAATATTACTAAATTTTTGTTATGATTATGATTATTATTAATATTATTATTACTACTATTATTACTATTGTTGCTATTATTATTATATTAGTTATTATTTGTTAATGTTATGTAGTTATTGTTGTTATTATTATTAGTATTATTATTATTGTTATTATTATTATTATTGTTGTTGTTGTTATTATTGTTACTATTATTATTATTATTAATATTATTATTATTATTATTATTATTATTATTATTATAAATACTATTATTATTGTTGTTGTTGTTATTATTATTATTATTATTATTATTATTATTATTATTGTTATTATTATTTTTATTATTATTGTTAAATTTAAAATACTAATCCTTGCGTGTTTTATTTGTTTGTGTTGTAATTTTATAGGATTCGGAGGTTGAAGACGGCGGTGACGTTGTGAATTACAGTGCACATTTTGTGACAGACACGGTTTTTCTAACGTTTGACGATGCAGTTAGATGGGCGGATGCTGTTGCAATAAATCTGGGATTTATTTTGGTGAAATCGTCTTTCAACAAACAGAGGGATGGTCGACCATATCGATAATTAAAATGTGATCCGGGACGAAGGAGTAAGCCGAGAGATCTTGAGAACGCAATTCGGAAGGACACCAAAACCAAGGGCATTGGTTGTCCTTTCTACATCAAGATATGTTACGAGTTCAACACCAATACTTGGGTTACCCGGGCGAAAGATGATGCAACTGGGACCCACAACCATCCAATGATTGCGTATCCAGCGGGTCATCGTAAAATTAGTGGGTTGAGCCCGAATGCAAAGCAGGTTGTGCGTGACATGACGAAGTCTAAGGTTGCACCGCGTAACATCATGGCGACTATTGCGGAGCAATTTCCTGATGATCATCCAAACATCAGACACATCTACAACTGCCGGAATGACTTCAGAGCGGAGATGTCTGATGGGAGAGGAGTTGTTCAGCAATTTCTACATTTGTCGAGACAGAGTCAGTATCTTTACTGGGTCATGTTCGATGATGAAGGCGTTTTACAGCACGCCTTTATGGCGCATCCAGTCATGGTCGACATCCTACGGACGTACCCATATGTGATCGGTATGGATTCCACTTACAAGACTAACCGATACGGGATGTCGTTCTTTGAGATAGTTAGTGTGACACCGACAAATCAGAATTTTCTCGTCGGTTACGTGTTCATGCGCAACGAGAGCACGACAAGCTATCGATGGGTTTTGCAGAGGTTGAGAGACGTGATTGGGTATGATAAGGAGCCGTCGGTTTTCTTGACAGACCGTGAGCTTGGGCTATGTGCTGCATTGAGAGAAGTGTTTCCAGGAACCTCCCACTTACTTTGTCGATGGCACATTAACAAAGATGTGGAGGCTCGGGTCACTGCTATGTTCAAAAACAAGAAGATCGGCGCGTCTTTCAAAAATGGAAAATGGAAACGTATCATGGACGCTGCAACCGAGGATGATTATGAGGCCGCTGTAGATATAATGAAAGATAAGTGGGCAAGTTATCCAGCAGTGATACAATATGTAGAGAACACATGGCTTTGTCATAAAACAAAGTTTGTGACATTTTGGACAAACCAAGTTCTACATTATGGCAACACCAGCACTTGCAGAGTTGAGAGCTAACATTCGGCCGTGAAGATGCGGTTTGATTCCTCGACATGTTTGGTGTTTGCTTATTGTAGTTCATGTATGTACTTTGTTGTAGGTATTTGAGTTACAAATCATAACCGTTTTTCTTTGTAATGTGCAGGTTCTTTGAATATCGTATGGGCTCGAGTTCATAACCACATTGGTAATCAGATCATCGCAATTCGTAATGTTTTGGAGGCTTTTAGGTCGAAGATAGGTCAAAAGTACCGACAGTTGCCACTATCACGTATAAACGGGAAAATGTCTCAGCATTGTTTGAAGGTTCTCGATGAGGAGACAAGGAGTATGAAGGAGCTGAGTTATCAAGTGCACGAACGATGTGGATGTGCAATGCGTGTGACCCACGGTTTTGTAGGGTTTCGTAGTGACCCGTAGTGACCCGACACTACGCGGAAGGAATCCCACCAAGACCCGCCCCTTAATTAAAGCAATTAACAAGCATAATAAACTTAACCAAACAAGATTAAGAACAAGAATTATACCTTTGACGCGTGCTTCGCTCCCAAAGAGCTCTTACTTCAAAATCCCGAAAAGACGAGATCTCCGACGGATCGTACCCTCGACCCGACCCGAGCGTCCTAAGTCTTGAAGGTTAGTCAAGACCCGGACAAAATAACAATGAGTTTTACGAATCAAAGGTTTACTCTTTCTTAGAGTTGCCTTTTTAATTCCACTCAAGGTTGTTCATTTCCCAATACCCAAGATTGGTATTTATAGGGAAATGAACCCTTAAACTTCATTCCCCAACCAATGTGGGAGAATGAGTAATTTTTCTAATTAATTTATTTCTAAAATAAATTAATAAATAAACACAATCACAATGCAACAAGTGTCAAAGGGAGAGAGAGGGTTAGGTGAGGACCATGAACCTTGGGGGGGACCATTGCCTTGCTCCCCAAGGCATGCTCCAAGCCCATTGGTCCCCACTCCCTCAAACCGCCACTCACAAAGGGGTGTTGGGCTGCTGCCAGCTAGCATGCCAGCTAGCCCAGCCAGCCAGCACCAGCCCAGCCTCGCATCCCAGCTAGGCAGTGCTGGTTGATGCTTGGCGCAGGTGTGTGCCAGTGCTAGGCGCTGGTGCGTGCTGGTGCTATGCGCTGGTGCGTGCTGGTGCTAGGCGCTGACACTCCCACGCACTGCCTCGCGCACTCACACACTCCCACACTACGCGCACCCACGCATCCAGCCCCATGCTCGCAATGCCTAACATGCGTGCTGCTAGCGAGCCACGCATGCTGGGCTTGACGCTGCTTTCTAGCTCTTCCTCGCATGCACTCGCACAGCCACATGCACCATCCTTGCAGCATCCCTATTGCATGCACACACGCACCAGCCCACACGCAACATTGCTGCTGCTGTGCGAGGCACACACGCACACACACGCAAGCCCCTAGCATTGCGATGGTGCTGTGTGTGGTTCCATGCCTTGCGATGGTGCGTGGTCTGGGCTGCGTGCTACGATAGCCTGCCACATGCACCCATGCACCCATGCTAGCATGCTGCTAGCTGCGATGGGCTGCCATGGCACACCTAGGCTGCGATGGTACGCCTTGAGCTTGCGATGGTGCGCCTAGAACTCCTAGTGTGCTTAGGCTTGCGCCTAGCCATGCTAGGTGCATGCTAGCTTGAACTAGCCTAGCATCCACATGGCTAGGCCAGTGTGGTGCTAGGGCTATGTTCGTACTTGTCGCTTTGTGATTTTGCGACGCTCGGTCTCGACGCCCTAGGCTCGATTTCCGACGTCTGTATTCGTAAAACTCTGCTGAATCATTAAATCCTTTCGGATTAATTCGTCGTCTCGGATCGATGATTCGATTGGGTTCGACCCAAAGGGTTCAGTTAAGATTAAGCTGTAACATCAATTGCACATAGATATTATTGATCGGAAGCGGCCTCCACCTAGGCATTCCGATCACTTGACCTTACTGAAGAATTAGCTTTGTAATAATTCTGAACCCTCTATCGGAAGAATACACTCGTTGGAAGGACACCATTCCTTTCAATCTCCCACTTGTCCTTCCGGACAAGTGTGCATACAGTGTACATCTCATTTCCTATGTCACTTAATGTTTCTTCGTGAACTATAAGGTAAGATTCTTTGTCATCCTTATTACGTTCAGAAGTGTTTCTCAATCTCCGAGTTCGACTGTCAATAAGCAGATGATTTCTAAAATCCATCTGAGCACGACCATGCATTTTCACAGTCTCGCTCTTCGAGCGGCCTTGTAAACAACAAAACATTTTCCCTATTGTTAGTAGGGGGACAATCCGAGTCTTGTATTGTAAGTTCTTCTTACTAAGAGTACATAGACTCCCGAGTGTTCCCGTTATGATCCCCAGTTACGGCAGACGTTTGGAAACATCAAAGAGCCTAGTACTCAAACAAGAAAACTTCACAGTACTCATGGTCGGAGGAAATAAGTTCTGATAGTCATAATGAGAAATGTACTTATGACAAAATTTAAATTTTCTTAAAGTACTCTCATAGGTCTTATCCAGTACAGTTCTAAACTGTACCTGTGCAAATGATTTATGACCGTCACG